ACTGACTGTAACATTGATCTCATTCTTTATACTGACTGTAACATTGAGCTCATTCTTTATACTGACTGTAACATTGATCTTATTCTTTATACTGACTGTAACATTGAGATCATTCTTTATACTGACTGTAACATTGAGCTCATTCTTTAAACTGACTGTAACATTGATCTCATTCTTTAAACTGACTGTAACATTGATCTCATTCTTTATACCGACTGTAACATTGATCTTATTCTTTAAACTGACTGTAACATTGATCTCATTCTTTATACTGACTGTAACATTGAGCTCATTCTTTATACAGACTGTAACATTGATCTCATTCTTTATACTGACTGTAACATTGAGCTCATTCTTTAAACTGACTGTAACATTGAGCTCATTCTTCATACCGACTGTAACAATGATCTCATTCTTTAAACTGACTGTAACATTGAGCTCATTCGTTATACTGACCGTAACATTGATTTTATTCTTTATACTGACCGTAACATTGATCTTATTCTTGATCTTGGTTTAAACCTTGATCAAAATCTTAGTTGACCTTAAGCGAAATTATCTTTATGTAGAATTCTTTTTCAAAATAAAAAAAGCTTTCTAATGGGGTTGAAGTCGAAAAAACGGAATTTTTCAGTTGTTGCACGCAGATTTGGCTCAGAATTCAATGCAAATCGATTGTTTTAATATCTTATGTTCTTTTCTTGTGTATATTTTTCAACAGCTGTAAAATTAACGATGTAAGTTAACTCTTTGGAATTTGGATGTGCGCGCGAAGCGCAAAAGATGAAATCTGTTTTTCAGAGTTCACAGTGTCTTATTGCCCCTATTTTAATGGTATATCTTTTTATGTGTTTCTTAGCGTAGCTAAATCATATTCATTATGTGCATAAAGTCCCCTATATTAAAGTCTACAGCAATTTCTTGTTATTCATTCACTAGTACTTTTTGTCCGTTAATATAGTCCCTTTATGGTTGGTTTGTGTAGTTTTTAGTAAGTAGTTGTTTCTGCAAGTACTTTTACTTTGTGACTATCTTGCGTCTGTCAATAATCTGTAAATAGTCTTTCTGTAGTCCATATACCCTGGTTTTCCAGTAAGGGGGCTATACCCTTGTACTTCTCTTGTAGCCTACAAAATTTCTGTTAGTCCAATATAATTCTTATAATCCCCCTCCCCCTCCCCCCTAGTTGTGCCTCTGCATGGCTGGATATATTGCTGTTCACTTCTGATCGTGATCCATAGAAGCAACATGTTCTAGAATGAGAACACAGTGATATATTCAAGGTTGTACAGGGTGTCCAAATAAACAAAGGAATTTAGAAACGACTTGAAAGTCGTCTTTGATTTCTGATATTTAATGCATGTCAAAGAAAGTATAAAAACGAGGCTGTACGTTTGACGAGCTTTTCATAAAGTTGTCTACCTTTCTTGTAACTTAAAATTTGACGAAGTTAAGCCAATTTTGATATATTAAATAAATTGAAACTTGAACAAATTTAAACCTCATATGACGTCAATGATCATAGAGGCGAGAGTGACCTTGATCTTATCCTTGATCTTGACTTTGACCTTTGTCTTTACTTTTTCCTTTATCTTGAATTTTTCCTTGATCTTGACTTTGACCATGATATTGACTTTGACCTTGATCTTGACTTTTTCCTTGATTTGAATTTGACCTTGATCTTGACTTTGACCTTGATCTTGAAGTTTACCTTGATCTTGAAGTTTACCTTGATCTTGACTTTTTCCTTTATTTTAATTTGACCTTAATCTTGACTTTGACCTTGATCTTGAATTTGACCTTGATCTTTACTTTTTCCTTGATCTTGAATCTGACCTTGATCTTGACTTTGACCTTGAACTTGAATTTGACCTTGATCTTGACCTTGACCTTGATCTTGACTTGAACTTGAACTTGAATTTGACCTTGATCTTGACTTTGACCTTGATCTTGACTTTTTCCTTTATCTTGATTTGACCTTTGTCTTGACTTTTACCTTGATCTTGATTTTGACCATAATATTAATTTTGACCTTGATCTTGACTTTTATCTTTGTCTTGATTTTTACCTTGATCTTGACTTTGACCATGATATTGATTTTGACCTTGATCTTGACTCTTTCCTTGATTTGAATTTGACCTTTATCTTTACTTTGACCTTGAAAATTGAATTTGATCTTAAACTTGACGTTGACCTTCATTTTAAGAAATTTCCAATTTTCATCCCAGAATATTTGTTGGAGCACCGGCATCAAATGCAACTTAGCAGGATCAAATTTTGAGATGAAAGTTTGAACAATTTTGACCTACATTTTGACTTTGACCTTGACCTTAACCCAGACCTTAAACATAACCATGGTTGTGAACTTAAACGGCCATACCTTGAAATATATATATATATATAGGAGGATGTTGAGAAAATGAGTGAGGACGAGAAAGATTATCATTATTTTAGGTAAATATAATATATTTTAACACTTTTTTATCTTTAACATTGTGTCGTGAATTCTCAGAAATAGAGAAATAGATTCAAGAAATTATTAATTAATTATGTATTGCTCAAAAAAACTGGAACTGAGTTCTTGCCAATACTAACTCAAAAGCTTGTTGTGTAAACCATTGATTTTTCTAAATTAGACTATTTTGATATAGGAAAATTCATAGTCAGATATAACAAAGTTTTATAGTTTGAAATATTTTTTTAAAGATTTAAATATGTTTATTTGAGTGGTTTACATTTTACAGATAATTACTACAACATTTAAATATCCAAATCACTACATATGTGAATGTGATTAGGTACTTGGCATAACTGAGTAACTGATTGCACTTTTTATTTATAAAAGTAGAGAAAAAGAGGAATTTGAAAGAAAAGGCATTATTGTTACAGGGCCGGAGATAAGGTGTGAAAAATACAAAAATTAACTTTTAATATCGTTAAATAGTTTTAAATAGTTAAAAAATCAAAGATCTTGACAGGGGCGTACGAGGGGAGGGGGGAAATAACTTGAATTTAAATGTCAAATTTTTCATTCTTTCCCCCGACATATATATCAGATAAAATCATTTCATAAATGAGACCCGGGCCTATGCGTACCCGTAGGGAGGGCACCTGCACCCAGTGCCCCCCTCATTCTTGACAAGAACTCAGTCCCTTTAACGTTCTCACAGTGTATGCACTGGGGATTAACCGTAGTAGATTAGCGTAATTTCACAAAAAAGTTGTGACCTCATGAATAGCATTAAATATTTAATTATTGCAGGATTCATGATACGGATAAAAATGATAGATTGGATGGCCTTGAAGTATTGAAAGCTGTAAACCATCTTATGGAGGAAGTATGATTCGTAACAAAAAATTAGAAATGCAAATTAGTCACGGAAAAAATTTAATGTTTTTTCCTTAGGGGGGTTAGTATAACATGAACTAAAAAAGTAGAATATTTTGAAATGTCGAGATGTTCATCATTTAAGCGAAAAACTTAATTTTAACTATTTCAGATTATAAGGCTTCTGAGATGGTTCATGTCAATCGTTATCTTGAAACGGCGCAACAAATATCGAAATTCCATATTTTTTTTTTATTCTTATCGTCTTCAATACGCAGCATGTTGTAAATGAAGGAAACCCTGTAGAGTGTATTTACAGGGTTACTCTAAAAGTATGATAATTCAGAGACGACTACAAATAATGTTTTCAGTAGTTTTCCTAAAATTCACTGCTCCAAGCAACAGTAAACTTGTTTCGTACTCGGTCAAATCATTAAATAAACTAATCTAAAACTTACAACAAAACTATAAGACAGAAAATCGAATATAAATCGTTAATTTTAAGGAGTTTTAGGTCGTCATTTAAGTCTCATCCTTCGGGGTTAACCCTGTATAAACTGTAACAACCAGAAAACAATGGAATAGGAAGACGACATGAAAGCAATACTTTAGTCTGTATTTTTGTTGTTATAAAAAAAATAGTTTGACTAGACACTTAGATAGTCAAATTGGTCTGTTTACACTGTGCAATTAATGTCGCATGCTAATTGAACTTTTCAAAGTTATAACATTTTTTTAAAGTCGTCTTCTTATTTCAGAGTTTAATGGTTATCACTGTATCTACACTAAGATAATTTTAGGAAATGGATGATATTAATAATACAACAAGTTCTTCAGATCAACGACTTCTTCTTGATCAGCAGTTTAAACTAGTAGTTGAACTAGTAGATAAGGTACACAAAGTTCATCAAGGATATTTTTGGAACAAAGTATAAAATAAAAAACCATTTAAAGACCTAAAACTGACGGGTCCGATGGGTAAAAAGTTTTTTGAAAAAAAATATCAACAAGGAAGCTTTCTCAGGGTGAATTACCATTTTTGAAAATATTATCCGAAAGTACTTCCTTAGAAATCAAATTTTATAGTAAACCCAAATGTTTAGGTTCTTGAGTTGGACGATATTGATGGAGACGGTCTTCTTTCCTTCGCCGAGTTTGTTTCCGGCCGACGGAGAGGAAACGAAAACTTGTCCAAATAAATAGTTCCGGTCGACCCTGCAGGATTGCAGTTTCCGGCCGACGGAGACCGGAAGTAAAAACCTTGCAAGAAAACTGTTTCCGGCCGACGGAGACCGGAAGTAAAAACCTTGCAAGAAAAATGTTTCCGGTCGACTGGGGGAAATGAAACATTAAAGATAACTATTTCCGGCCGACGGAGAGGAAATGAAACCTTGCAAGATAAATTTTTTTTTTGTCTATGGAGAGGTTCAATGAAATCTTCAAGATATTTTTTACACTCTTTTTATTACTCTACCACAAAATTGTTAACGTATATTTAAATGTGAACGTGGATAAAATAATTTAGTATAAATTAGCTCTCCTGTATATTTTACAATTCGTTTAAAATCCATGCAAATTTGTCATTTTTGCAAAGTTTGAATAAAATATATGCAAATAAATCCATTGTTCTTGTGTTTTGTAATCAGGGTAAATGTACGGAATTCAATAGTACAGTTTATTATGTAATATTCTGGATTTATGGGCTTCTACAGGGTTCTACAAAGAACGAGACTTCAGACACTGTTACTTTGTTTCTTTGCCCAATTATTAAATAAGTCATTTACTATTTCTTAGGGTTTCCAATCGGAATTCCGTTGCGCGGAACTGCGCGCAATGCAGGTTGCTTCCGCTTGCGGTCATTTTATTGCGCGCAATTGCGCTATAATTGTCGTGGACCTTAGATATTTCAAACTATAAGTTCTGTTAGATCAAATAATCTAAGTTTGAAATATTAAAGGTTGCAAAGATATATAGGAATTAGAAAATTTGAGATTGTGGCAAAGACTCAATTCCTTTATGCAGCAGACACAAGAATGGAAATATCTCTGTAGATGTAGATTTAAAAAAAAACTTGTTTTAGGGATTTCAAATTTTAAAGTTTCTTGTGGTTAAGCTACTAATTAACAATTTAATATGATACATTTTTCATTTGTTCACATTGTTAAAATGGAAACTTTTTTGTGTTCAAATTGGTTGAACATTAAAATGGAAACTTTTTTTGGTTAAAATTGTAAGGTTCGCTTAATCAAAATTAGATATTTTTTTTACAGTGAGAACCAGAAAACTATGGTGCAGAAAGTGTATATGTCGTTACAAGCAAAAAATTTAATTAGTAATTTATAAAATCACTTATTCAGTTAAACGGATCTGCTTGAGTCAAAAATGTCGTCTTCCTATGTTAACGATTTCTTGGGATTATGCTGCAAATGAATATTATAAAACACAAGATTCAGTTAGGTTAAGTTAGTGAATTTCAGTCTATTGTACGTATGCCATGGTGCCTTTACCAAAGTTTAAATTGATTTTTTTTGTTGTTGAAAGGAATTGCGCAATAATTAATTACGTGTTTTGTGCGCCATAATGTTTTAATTGAATATTATCAAAAAATTGAAACACAATCGCGAGGAAGTTGGACGGAATTGCGCGCTACAGCGCGCAATTTTGTTGCGCTTATTGCTCGCATTAAATTCACTTGCGCGCAAGTAAAATTCACTTGCGTTGGAAACCCTACTAATTCTGAACAGAAAACATCATGTAACCCTGGACCCCATGAGCCTCCGCTATGCAGACACGAGCTTCTCTGATTTGTTAGGCAGACCGAGCCATGGCAGAAAAAGCCTCTGCTATATAGAAGAGTTTCCTTAGAACTCTTGGGTTTTACATGTAAATATTTTTTTGTATTTTTTTTTCGTATTAGTGGCATAAAAAGTTTATCAAAGATCAGAAGTATTAATCAATTATTATAAATAGTGACTAATTATTACTGAAGTTTTATAAACCACTTTACTAAGCATTTTTCACTCAAAAAAAGGAAAACATTTAGAGAAAAAATTCTGAAAGAAGTTTTGTTTGATATTCCATAATCTTTGATTTAAGCGATACCTTTTAAGAACTTTTCATCATATTTCTTACTGCGTAAGAATTGTTTTATTGTAAAACATAAATTTGATAAACCTCTTTGAGTCAATATAATTGTTACAAATCATGACAATCAATAAAAAAGAAATAATCTTAAATTAAATTCTTGTTGAAAAAAATGAAAAAATTCTATATTACATGTAAAAACCAAGAGTCATCAGAAAGCTGTGCTGTATAGCGGAGGCTCTTATTGCATGGCAGAGGCTTGGTCTGCCTAAAAATCTGGGAGGCTCGTGTATGCATGGCGGAGGCTCATGGCGTCAGGGGTTCCCTCCCTCCCTGGGATTGTAAAATTTCAAGAGTTTCCGGTCGTCTTTACCGTCTCATGCTTTGAGGGTAACCCTCCCTGTAATGTGAGTAAAAGCAGCACATATGTTGGACACCCTAGACTGCTGAGGGGGGGGGGGGGCGTCTCTCCCCTCGATATTTTTGAGGCTGCCATGGAAAATTTCTATAACCGCCTCTATTTGAGATTATCAAGAAAACAGTTGTTTTCTCTGATAAAGGAGACTGTACAGTGTACACGTACTCTCTTATGCTAAATTTACGATGCAATCCTTAAAAGTTAAAACCTTTGTATAAAAGCAGAAAGCCAGAAAGAACTGGACATTTTCGAATCTCTAATAAAATTTTTTGGAAAATTCCTTCACTGTTTCTGCTTAATCTATCTGCTTGTGATGGCCACAAAATGGTGGGAAGAAAGGTGGTTGTTAACTAAGGGAACTATATTAATGAATTGGATTGTTCAAATATTTTATTTCAATATTGAGCACCACGGAGAACATTATCATAATTATATTCATTATAGTTATATCCTATAAATCTCAAAAACATATTTTGTAAATTTATTCATTTTTAGGTATTTAGAGCAAAACTTATTAAATGCAAAAACATCAGCGAAATTGTAAAATTTTGCTTTATTAAAACAAATAAGTAACAGATAAAAACAACATTATGTTCTTAGCTGGATTAATTTTTGCCAAAACTTATCCAGGATCCAGATTCGGATCCATTTTTAACAAACTTATCCAGGATCCAGATTCAGTCAATTGCAAAACTAATCCAGGGTATGAATCCATTTTTAACAAAGCTAAACCAGGATCCGGACCCATTTTTGTCACAACTTATCTATAGGATCCGGATCCATTTTTGTCACACTTATCTAGGATCCGGATCCATTTTTAACTAATCAAGGATCCGGATCCAGTTCATGTAAAACTAAATCCGGGATCCGGATCCATTAAAAAAATCCAGGATCCGGATTCAGTCAAAATTAATCCAGGGTATAACAAAGCTAAACCAGGATCCGGATCCATTTTTGTCAAAACTTATCCAGGATCCGGATCCATTTTTAATTAATCCAGGATTCGGATCCAGTTCATGTAAAACTAATCCAGGATCAGGATCCATTTTTTGTACAACTAATCCAGGATCCGGATCTACATTAGAATGACCTGGATCCACAGCACTGATTTAAGAGCAAAAAAAAGATTGTTTTAAATATACAAACATACTTGACTGACATATTCATAATTATTTTTTTTTTTGATTTCTTTCTTTACTTGACATAAGAGTATTGCTGGCAATTTCAATCTCCTTCTGTAATAATTATTGGTAAAAGTATTCTCTTAAAATACACAATAATATGTATTTTTTAAGCGTTGCAAAGTTTATGACCAGATGTTATGATTCCAATAGTTTATTGTCTGATTAATCATTTTTATAGATGTCGTTTGAATTTGATTTGATTTTGTTTGGACTTAGTGGAACATTTTTTTATATCTTTGACCCAAAAGTTTCATATTAAATGTCTTGCAATGCCAAGGTTTACAACTCACTGTGATCTTGCAAGGCTGCATTTGTTGCAAAAAAAAACTCTACACTTGGTAGACCAGACTGGACTGTACACGTGAATGTGTATACAGTACATGATGTACCGGCTGGGATTATGTAACATTTTTAGTGGGGTGAGCTAAATGAACATCTTAACGCGCACGCGCTTTGCAAGCGATTAAATTATATTTCTGTGTAGAAGGAAGGTCGTTCACAGCCTAGAATTCTGAAGACCATAGGTGCAGTCCAGCAGACGTTGAAACCAATGGCAGTGTACGTCACAAACTAAAATAGTTAAATATAGTGATTAGTGGTTTGTTTATATAAAACATTTATAATTGTTTAATGTTTATCCATTCCTTTCACTTACAATTTCAACCATGACAGTTTTAATAAAAAACCTTTTTAAAAATACACTTAAAAAAGATGGAACCTTCAGATAAAAGTATTTGATTTCTCGAAAACACCCCCCCCCCGGACTGTCGGTTTTTCCGTTTCTAATTAACGTCAATACGGCTGAACCAATCGAGTTCAAACTTTTGTAGGACCACACAAGAACCTCGAAGTTATTTTTCTTATTATTCTTTCTAAATCAAACAATATAATGCACAAATGTTATTCTTTTTTAATTAATATACACGAAAAAACATCCGCAAATTCGTATACGTTTTTGAAAAATATATATAAGTTATAATAACATTTTTAATATAGAGTCATTTAAAAATCCACCATAAGCATGATGGTGTATTTTTCGAACTACGCAAATCCGCTATACTACACATCCGACCTACTAGCACGTGGTTTTACAGCTGCTAAATGGACTTGTGGACCCAGCACCGGGCCCCCTAGCCTGTCCTAGCCGCAACCATCGGCCCAGAAATTGTCTTAACCTTACTTAACCCTCTAATACACACAAATAAACAGATGGCGTAGGTCCGATATTGCAGTAGGTCGGACAATAGTAGGTCAGAAGTTCAGTAGCGGGGATGTTGCGTATAGACGATGTAACGTTAGCTAGAAGCATTTTATCTTGGATTGTTAGTTCAGTATTAGAAACTTAAAATCTTAAATGTTTTAGGAAAAATGGAGTCTCGATCCCTTACCTTACAAAATAGATCTGCTATAAGCTTTGCTTTGTTATGTGTGTCATTGTGTTCTTTCCTTAGTTTATTCCAATCAACCTAATTCAAACCAAACCTTTAAAATAACAATTATAAAAGAACCGAGTTTATCTTATAGCATTAAAACATTTAAGTAAACATGAGAAGTTACAATCCTATAAAACGGTGATTGTACTCGTAAAAACAATTTCCATTTGTTTCTCATTTGTTTCTCAATCTCTCAATGCGAAAGTTGATACATTTTGTAAATCAAATCAATTAGCCTAGAATATGTGCGTAATATATATATATA